CTCTGGGAATACGTGGCATGGCCAAAATAATTTTGAAAAAGAACAAAATTCCAAGATTTGTACAACCTGAATCATTTATCAGACTGTGTGTGATTGACCTAAGAACAGACACTGATCATTGTAATACAGCAGTTAAGAACAGAACCACAAATATAGCTAGTTGACATTTTTGGACATGGGTTCAAAAAGGTTCTGTAGGTAAAGAATAATTTTTTTTCCCCCTGTTGCTGCACTGTGCAGTATCTGGGATCTTAGTTCCCCAACCAGGGATCAAACCGGTGCCCTCTGCAGTGGAAATGCAGTCTTAACCACTGAACTACAAGAGAAGTACCAAGAATAATCTTTCTGATATGTAGTACTGGTACAACTGCATATCCAGATTAAAAAAAAAAAAAGAATCCCGTGCTATACCTCATACCATGTGTAAAAATGAACTCCAAATGAATCATAAACCTAAGTGGAAAAATTAATACTGTAAGACTTCTTGAAGAAAATAATAGGAAGAAATCTTTGAGATATTAGACTCTGCAAAGATTTCTTAGTTATGACATCAAAAGTACAATTCATAAAATAAAAAAAATTGTTCTGCTCTTCTAAATACAATTTCATGAACATATAAGCCACAGATTGGGAGATAATGTTTACACAATACGTTTCTGACCAAGGATTTGGTTCTAGAATATATAGGCAACTCCTAAAACTCATTAATAAGAAAACAAACAACCCAAAAAAGTTTTGAGAAAAAAAAATTGAGTAGATAGTTTGCCAAAGAAGGTTTCTGATGCTCAACATTGTTAGTTATTAAGGAAATACAAATTGAAATCACAGTGAGGTACCACTGCATTACCAATTAGAATAGCTAAAAATTTTTTTAAAGTAGAGGAAAACAAAGAACTTATAATACTTAGTGCTGCTGAGGATGCAAAGTAACTACACCAGACATACATTACTGATGGGAATGCAGAAAGGTGTAGCCACTTTTGAAATCAGTCTCTCTAAGGTTAACCAAGTTTCAGAGCAACTCAGCCATTCCCCTCCAGTGGTATTTACTCAAGTGAAATGAAAACTGACATCCAGACTAAAACTTAGGTACATATTTTTAGCAACTTCATTCATAATTGCCAAAACAGAAAAGAACTCAAAGGTGGTGGAACTGATGAGTGAATTTAAAACCACCAGCAACCTTTGGTCAGAGAAGGCAATGGCAACCCACTCCAGTACTCTTGCCTGGAAAATCTCGTGGACGGAGGAGCCTGGTAGGCTGCAGTCCATGGGGTTGCGAAGAGTCAGACATGACTTCACTTTCACTTTTCACTTTCATACATTGGAGAAGGAAATGGCAACCCACTCCAGTGTTCTTGCCTGGAGAATCCCAGGGACGGGGGAGCCTGGCAGGGTCTATTGGGTAGCACAGAGTCAGACACGACTGAAGCTACTTAGCAGCAGCAGCAACCTTTGGTACATCTATATCGTGGAGTTATACTCCACAAGAAAAAATAATGAGTTGCTAGAAGTGGGCATACTCTTTGCCTACAGAATGTCAGCTTTTTCCCCTCCAGTGCTTGGCGCCTTGCTGGGAGATTCTAAGCGTCAAGAAGTCATCCGGGATATTGCCAGATAGCTTGCCCAAATAGCACAAGGAATCTGCCCAGGGCTCATGGACGACCTGGCTGCACAGTTTAGGAATGAGAGCCTGTCAGAGGAGGACAGGAGTATCTATTTGTTCAACAGATACAAAGATTTAGTTATGCAAGTGAGTGAGTTGTTCATCGTTGATGAACAGATCTTCTGTACAGCGTGGTTCACATTATTAACAATACTGTATTGTGCACTTAAAGTGGGTGGCGCTCATGTGAAGTGCTCTTACCACAATAAAATCAGTTGGTTAGAACTTTAGCCTGGAAGAAAACATTCACAGTACATATATCTAACAATGTGGATCCAGACTGTATTTTAAAAACCCGTTACAACCCAAGATCACTAACAACCTAGCTTTTTTAAATAGCCAAAATTTTGAACAAACTTTACCAGAGAAGCTAAAAGAATAGTCACATGAGAAGATGCCCCTCATCATTAGTTATGAAAATGCAAATTAAAACACAATGAGATACCACTTTACCTACCTAGAAAGGCTAAAATTAAGAAGACTGAAAAGATCATGTGACAAGGATGTAAAGCAAAAATGTAATGTTGATTAATTGCTGATGGTAATGTAAAATGGTTAACGTACCTACCTAACGACCCAGTTATTCCATTCCTAGGTATTTCACTTAAAGGAATGAAAACATATGCCCCCAAAAGACTTGTATATAAATGTTCATAGCAGATTTATTCATAGTAGCATGTAACTAGAAGCAATCCAAATGTTCATCCATAAGTGAATGGATAAACATAATTGTGGTATCTTCAGATAATTTAATCAAAAGGAATGAACCAGTTATGTATGCAGCAATGTGAGTGAATCTCAAACATTATGCTGAAAACTTTAAAAGCCTTGTACAAAAGAGTATAGACTATGATTTGGGACAAGCAAGCCTAAATTTTAGTAACATTATTTAGTAACATTAGGCTTCTTAATGGTTATTTGGGGCCAGGAGTGAGATGAAAAATGTATTGACTGCGAAGGGACATGAGAAGCCTTCTGTTGTGATGGGAATGTTCTGCGGGTTGGTTGGGATTATGGTTATACTGTGTATACATTTGTCGACAAAGTGTGTGCACACTGATTGTATGCTTAAAATAGGTGCACTTTATTGTATGTAAATTATGTTGTACCTTAGTAAGTTGATTTTAAAGTTTAAAATAGATTTTAAATTAATCCTAAAATTGAATCTTCAAACTAAAGCAAAATCTAACTCCTATATATCTAATTAATAACATAGCCATACAAATAATTTACTTAACTTTTGAATCAGTATTCTAACTGTATATACTTAATGGAACATAATCTTTAGACAAAAATGTATTGTGAGCAAATACTTTTACTTGGTGGTTTTGTTTTTGGTCAAGGTTGTATTAGTTTCGGATAGAGCTAATGAGTAAATCTGTAAATGTCAACTGGGATTCTGACTGTAGAAAAAGGAAATATGTGTGAAATGGATGAAGATGAGGAATGCTGTGTTGGATTTGAGTTAGAGTTGTCATTATGCACTCATCAGTTTAAAAAGACATGTATTTCCTAGCTTTGTCCACTTAAGGGATCTAAAAGCAATGACACCTCAGGCATTGAATATACTTGGCACACAGATCTTGGTTTCAAAATGCCATTGCCCACTAAAAGACTTCTACTAGAAATGGTTGACTTCAGGTCTGGTACAGAATTTAAAAAAACAAGATGAACCTGAAACCTCTTGTGCTAGAAGGTAAGAATGTGTCAGAGCACCATGGAGGACATGTGAAAAGGAAACAGGATTGAGGAGACAAACTGAATATCATGATAATGATTTTTTTTAAGTATAATACATACACATTGAAAAATATATTAGTATACATTTATATATTATGTATGTGTTTATATAGATGAGAGAAAAGGGGGAAATGCTCATTTTTAAACTTTTAAATATTGGAAGTACTGTGATTAGAGCACTGCTGTTTCTAATCTCCAGTACAATAATTAAAGATCATTAACAGTTGGTGTCTGAAACCATTAGCTGTTGGGACAAGGCATTGACACTGTCTTAAAAGTTAACACCTCTCAATTGTATATTAATTTCAAAGAGAAGAAATAACTACATTCAGAGATCTGACAGCACCGTAACCACTTCAAGTTTAACATCACCAGCAATGAGACAAACTGAGAGTATGTGTGTCCTCATGAGACGCAATAGTAATTAGAAAGCATCTTTATGTACTTCTCATGAAGAAGCAATCAGGCAAATCTGGTATTTTGGATAGTACAAATACATTACAAGTACATTCAATTGACTTGGATTTCTCAAAATAAAAAAATCCATGTCATGAAGTCAAAGCAAAAGGGATCTGGATTTAGGGGCAAAGTGGAGACACTATTCTAAATGTAGAGACATAAGCAAATATAATTTTGAATTTTGATTGCATCCTTCAAACAGCTTTAAAATTGTGAACACTTTGACAACTGAGGGAAATTGGAATATGACGTCTGTATTAATCACATGCAGTAATGACAGCATTAAATTTCTTCGTCTGGTAATGATATTTGGTTATATAGCTGAATGTCCTGTTCCTAGGAGATACCACTGAATTATTTAAGGATGCAATTTCATGACATCTGCAAGTTATTTTCAGGTAGATTAAGAGAAAAGCATGTGTGTCTGTGTATAAACATAAAACAAGTATAACAAAATGTTAGCAGTCTTTGAATCTTAAGTGACAGGTATGTAGATTATTCCTTGTTCTATTTCTGTTTTTCTGTGGGTTTAAAATATTCAAAATAAAAATCAAGAGGAGAAAATTATCTTGTTCTTAATTACTCTCTTGTTCTTAATTACTCTGAAAATGTATAAGCTTGAAATTTTTTAGAAGAGTTACTGGGAAATAATGTTAATTATCAATTCATTTGAACTATCTGATATTCCAGAGAATGTTAGAGGGACTTTAGAGATTATCTTTTCTAGGTCCCTTATTCATACAGGTGAAGAAATGAGTCTGACAGTAATAGAGTCACTTACTGAAATCACATGGTAAGCCAGTAGTAGCTCCTGGACAGTGAATTCAGCTGTCCTGTTTTCCAGGATATTTGTTGCTTTTCCTACTGTGCTGTGTTATCTCTTCCACTAAAAGGACTTTGTTGGAGGTAAAGTTAAATTAAGAAAAATACAGTGTATCATTTTTTCTTGCTAGTATGTCTTCAATATTTCCCCTGCATTTTGACAGTATTATGAGACCATGTTTGATCTCTTGATCTGTAGGTCAGGAATTTAGTGAAAGATGTATGCTTCTTTTGATAATTGCCTTCCTAGAATTCTTTAGATCATCTGGTTTGAGCTGTGTGTTTTTTGTCATTTATTTTTTTTATCCTCTAGTTTAAGCTATGAAGAAGGACATCCCTCAAACTCTGAAACAGACCTCCTTCAGAGACAGACTTTTGCAGCCTCTCATCAGCTTCCTGGATATGCTGCCACACCTCAGCCAACTGGTAAAAATTCTCCTATGAAATATACCCTGAATCTGGGTGCATTTAGTGAATAAGAAGGAAAATCAACTTGCACATGTTGTGTTATGAAAGTGTACAGGACAGAACGGTTCCATGGGAAACATTAGAATGAAAATGAGGTTAAAAGCTTTGTCTTTTACTAATGGGAAATAGTTATATAGTTAATTAGTAGGGAAATCTTTTTTCCTGCATCTCTATAGATTTTAAATTATAACTATGCTTAAGCAAATTAATACTTGTTTGCTATTCAAAATGAAACAGTTTAGGGTTGTGGCACTTTGGGCCTCAAATTTCAGAGATTCCTTTTAAAAATAGCATCAGGAATATCCTTTTATGTTCATGTATATTTTTACTTTGGGATGCATTTTATCTTCAAATGCAGGTCTTTCTGGAGTATTTGATACGAGTGTGAAGAGTGCCAGCACTAACACTAAAGAACCTTCGGTGATGAATTTTCTCTCTGCTGTTGAGTCCCGACCTGCTCAGGCTGCTTGTCCAGGAGCTACTCTTTTACCACAATTCAGGGCCCCATCCTGGCAGACAGGTGACTCTTTGTTTTCAGAACTTTTAAGTCCTATAGAAATACTGCTGAAAATTCACTTTTTATAGTCTTGTCATGATGGTAGTGTGGCTGAAAGTGATGTTAATTATTGATTTTCCAGTGAACTTTAAAACCTGGAATTTTTCACTATTTTAAGGTGGACAGAATTCAAGAAATTGTTACTAGCAGAAATTCAGTTTTAGCACTCTGATGAAAACTAACAAGTTGAAGAAGGTAGGTAATTGTTAAAAGGTAAATCCTAGATATAAAGTTTTTACCTGGCAATTTAAGTAGTCCCTTATTTACTTGAGAGAAGAAAAAATTAAATTTCTTTTCCTTTTGTCCCTCATTTTACTTTTATATAGGTATAATTGACATGTAAAATTGTAAGATATTTAGAGTGTACGTTGTAGTAATTTGGTACATGTTTACATTGTGAAAGAATTCCTCCATCTGGTTAATTAACACACCTATCACTTTACATGTTTATCTTTTGTGGGGAAGTTGGTGAAAGATTAAGTTTTATTTTAGTGCCTTCAGACTGGATAGGTGGTATAGTAAAAAAACAATCTTAGAACTGATTTCGTCATTACAGTTAGGAAAGTGAACAGAATAAGTCATTCTTTAATAAAAGCTAGTACAAATTGATGATATTATATTATGTACTTTTCTATTTTATTTTTCTTATTTTATTTTTCTGTTACCCCTTGAAATTGTTTGTGTATGTTTATTTTTTGCAGGATGACAGGTTAGTTTTTTTTTTTTTAATTAAGGTTTCATCCTAAAGACTATACTTTTAAGTAATAGCTATCGGAAATATTTTATCATTTTGATGTAGATTCCATTAATACAGGTGTCTTTTCAGTATGTCTGAGAAACTTCTGCTTCCAAAGAAACAGTGTGTTAGTGTGGCATAACACAATATTTTTTAAAAAACTAAAACATACAATAGCTTTATTTATTGCTTCCTGGAATAATTTTACATTACATGTATTTAGTTAATTCTAAGCATTATTTATTGTTTCAAGAGTAACTAGGTGTTTTCTGTCCTTGTAGTCATAATACTGTTTTGATTGCAGCCCATCTTCTGGGATCTTAGCTCCTCGACCAGTTAAACCTGGGCCCCAGCAATGAAAGATTGAGTCCTAACTGTTGGACCACCAGGGAACTCCCACTTTTTTGACATTTAATGGAAAGAAGTGAAAGAAGAATATTTTTGAAAAGGGCCAGAGAACCTTTTCCCCTCTATTTTTTCAAAATGGAAAAAAAAAAATTTAATGGAAGCTCACTAAAAAATATGTAAATAGGCTTAGAGATTGAACATACGGTTACCAGGGGGAAAGCATGGGAGGGGGAGGGATAAATTGGGAATTTGGGAATGACTTGTACACACTGCTATATTTACAGTAGATAACCAGGAGGGACCTACTGTATAGTGCAGGGAATGCTGCTCAGTATCCTGAAGTAACCTAAATGGGAAAAGAATTTGAAAAAGAATAGATATATGTGTAACTGAATCACTTTGCTATACTCCTGAAACTTAACACTGTTAATCAGTTTTGCTCCAACATAAAAATTTAAGAAATGGAAACAATTAGGGCTTCCCTGGTGGCTTGGTGGTAAAGAATATGCCTGCCAGTGCAGAAGACACGGGTTTAATCCCTGATCTGGGAAGATGCCACATGCCGCAGAGCAGGTAAGCCTGAGAGCCACGACTGTGGAGTCTGTGCTTTAGAGCCTGGGAGCCACGGTGACTGAAGCCCATGCGCCCTAGAGCCTGTACTCCGCCACGAGAGAGGCCGCCGCAGCGAGAAGCCCATGCGTGGCGACCCGAGAGCAGCCCTTGCTCCCCGCAACTAGAGAAAAGCCCACACAGCAACGAAGACCCAGCACAGTCAAAAGTTAATTAATTAATTAGAAAAAAAATGAAACAATTAAAAGGCATATAAAATGAAAAGTGATAGTTCCTAACTGTAGTCCTGCTTTTTAGAGAAGGGTTAATAGTGTTTACTCTTTATTGATATCTTTGTGCATCAAAACTTTTTTTGTATTTTCACCTAAGCAGTGTTACAGCAGCAGTATTATTAGGATATGCCATAATTATTTTACCAGTCTCCTGTTGACGGACATTTAGGTGGTTTCTACCTGTTATTCACAATAACTGTACTGAGTACGTTGTTTGAATCTTTGTGTCCATTTATTTCCATGGGGTAAATTTCCATAGATCTAAATTTCTGTAGGAACTTTTGGATCATAAGGGTGTACATGGTTTTACTTTTGCTGTTAAGTGGCTAGACTGCTATCCTGAAATGTTAACAATCTCTTCTTGACAGTACTTCATTAATTTCTGATCGCTTTTTGTGATAAGCATGCATCTATTGTTACTGGAAGCTGTTCATAGGAAATCAAAACTTGAAATGCAAGGATTTTTTAAAAATACATGTATTTTGATAAAAGAAACTTTGCGGTGTTAACCTCACTATTATTTTTAGATTTATTTATTACGTTAAATGTAGGGAATTTGGTTTCAGTTTTAATGTTACGAACATTTTAGTTTGTTCATTGGTATTTTGCATGGGAATTTCAGGGTTAAGTAATCACTAGCGATGATACATATTTTTACTATTTTCATAAGTTTCAAATGACTTACCTGACTATGTAAAATCTCATGTTTATGTAACAATAATAGAAATGAATTGCTGATACCTTTGTAGTTTTGTTTTTGCCTTATAAAAACTAGCTATTTTGAAATGTATTTTTTAGAATTTCTATGCAGAACTAATTTGTTAGACTTTTTAGTTTTAAAGAGATTTTGATGGATTAAAGGTTATGTAAGTTTTATAAGTCTGTATTATGAGAACAGATAGAAGTGTTTGTGCAATAACTGCATAAATGTATTTGTTTTCTTTTCACAGGTATGCATTCCTCAGCACCAACTGAGCTGTTTGTTACTGGACCTTTGCCAACCACTGGAACACTTCCATCCCCTACCCTCCCTGCTTATCAGCATCCTGCCACCTTCAGCAATAGAAACTTTGCTACCACCTCACCATTGGTGCTTCAGGATTCAACTTTTAACACTACATCAAATGGAATTTTAAGTCCTCATGATCCTTTGCTTCAAATCAAGACTTCCCAGGGAACTGTTCCAACTGCTTTGACATTTGAGCGCCTGGGCAGTTCTGCGATAAGTAACAGCATACCACCTCAGTCTTCAACATACCGCTCAGCTCAAGAGTCTGCACCCCATCTTTTACAACCTCAGTTTAGTTTGTTGCCTTCAGCACTTGGAGGAGCCCAGCAAACTCCTCAAGCCTACGGTTCAACTCTCTTTACTAGTTCTACTGCTTCCATTGAAAGAGCTCTTCTCCGAGAATGTAGTGTTATTAAACACCATCAGCGGCCTTCAGGTACCCAGTCTATTCAGGCACAACTGACTGGTTCACAGCATTCCTTACACAGTTATCTATCAAATGCAAGTGGGGTTAATTTTCAGGAAACAAGCAGGCAGTCATCTTTATCCTGTAGCCCAATTGGAGAGTCTACTCAGGTGAGCAGTGGAGGATTGCAACAGAAGCCCTCCCAGGTGTCAGTGGAACTTGCTCAGTCCTATTCATCTGCAATCCCATCGTCAGGGTATCCTCCTACTGCAAAAGCAAAAAGCTGTTCTACAAAACAACCACTAGCATCAACCAAGTCCCCCAAACCTCCAAGTGTAATTCCTCCTGTGCAAACACTAAGCTATTCCAAACCTTTACATAACCAGAGTTCTGTAATATCAGGCCAAGCACAAATTTATTCTACAGCGCAGCTACCAAGCCTTTTATCAGTTAGTCAGTCTCAAAATTACGGTTTAGTACAGCCACATAATGTGCCGTCTATTGTTCATTCACAGGTTTATAGGCCCAGCAAAGTCGAGAAGTTGCCGTCCTTGTATAAAACACTGACTTTTTCTGGCTCGTCTCAGACTATAACTTCTGAAAATTCCACACTTAATTATTCTTCTAGTCAGCAAGAAGTGTTATCTTCAGTTACAAATGAGAATTACCCTGCTCAAGCAAGAGATCCCTCTTCAGATAGCCAGTCTCAGAGTTACTCATCTGGTCACTCTCAGGGTTTATCACCAGTTAGCCAGACACAGGTTAGTTTTTCATCTCAGTCACAAGTTTTGTCAGTTGTTAGTCCTTCAGAAAGCTATGCTTCAGGTCAGTCCCTAACATTAACAGCCCCTTCTCTTTCTTATTCTTCTGCTTCTCGGGCTCAGAATATGCCAGATGCTAGTCCAACTCAGAATTTTATTTCTATGCATTCTTCCCAAAATGCTCAGACCCAAGGGTCATCATCTCCCCAGTCCCAAAAGTTTTTGCCTGCTGTCCAGTCATCATCTTTTGCAACCTCTACTCATTGTCAGACCTTACAGAATAACCTACCTTCCCCTGATCCAAAGTCTTATGCTGAAAGAAAACTTGACTCAAATGTTTATACATCTTCAAAACAAGAGGATGATTTTCCAATGCAAGAGTTACAGGTATTACAGCCACAAGTATCTCTTGAGTCATCAACTCAAAGGCTGTCTGATGGGGAAATGAACGTTCCAGAGTCAGCTTATAAGGTGTCAAAGGCAGATGACAGATATTCTCAGAGCATAATCAGAAGTAATTCCTGTCTTGAAGATCAGGTGGTTGGTATTGCTCTACAAGGGTCTAAAAAAGAAGAAAACATTGTTGGGTCAATGACACAACTTAACCAACAAATTGGCCAAGTCAATAATTCTGCAACCCTTGATATTAAGAAGACAACTAGTTTAATGCAAACTCCGCAAATACGGTTGAATACTGAAGACCTAAACCAGCAGCATTCTCTTATACAGAAGGCACATGAAGCCAAGGCCCAGGAGCAGCATGATCAGATAATCAATGCCTCATCTCAGATTCAGATTCCAAACAGTGCTTTAGGGCATGGCCATCAGGTATCTCTTCCTAATACACAGGTCCTTTTAGATTCTGCCTGTGATCTCCAGATTCTTCAGCAGTCAATATTGCAGGCAAGTTTAGGACAAGTAAAGACATCTTTACAAGTACAGCGTGTTCAAAGTCCTCAACAAATAGTACATCCTTTCCTTCAAATGGATGGTCATATTATTCGGAGCAACGGTGAACATTCTCAGCAGCAACTCCATCCTCAAAATTCTGAAATTATGAAAATGGACCTTTCTGACTCTTCAAAACCATTACAGCAACATCTGACAACAAAGGGCCATTTTAGTGAAACAACTCAACATGATTCAAAGAATCATTTTGTTTCTCTTGGATCAATATGTTTCCCAGAGGCAATGCTCCTCAGTGATGAGAGAAATATTTTATCAAATGTAGATGATATCTTAGCAGCTACAGCAGCAGCTTGTGGGGTCACACCTTCTGATTTCTCCAAGTCAACTTCAAATGAAACCATTCCTGCTGTTGAAGATGGTGATTCTAAATCTCATTTTCAGCAGTCATTAGATGTTGGGCATGTGACATCAGATTTTAACTCCATAGCAGCTACAGTAGGAAAGCCACCAAATATAAATGATATTTCCTTAAATGGAAATCAAGTTACTGTAAACCTTTCACCAGTACCTGCTGTTCAGTCAAAGATGACTCTTGATCAACAGCATGTTGAAGTAGCTGGTCAAAATAAAGCTTCTAAAGTAACTTCATCAGTGGTCGGACCAGGTCATGAAGTCCAGGAGCAAAGTTCTGGTCCATTCAAGAAACAGTCTGCAACCAGTCATGAACCTGAAGAAGACAGCGAAGTTGCTGTTGATAGCACATTAAATAATAACAGAAATCAAGAGTTCATTTCCAGTAGTAGAAGCATAAGTGGAGAGAGTGCTACATCGGAGAGCGAATTCGCTTTAGGCGGTGATGACAGTGGTGTGTCGATGAACTCCTCTAGGAATACACTTGCCGTGTTGGCCATGGCCCAGCCTGGGGAGCCAATCAGTGTCAAGATGGAAGAGGAAAACCAAGATTTAATGCATTTTAACCTCCAGAAGAAGAAAACTAAAGGAAAAGGGCACGTGAAAGAGGAAGACAACAGTCAACAGAAACAGCTGAAAAGAGCTGCCCAGGGCAAACGCCAGAACCCCAGGGGAACAGATGTGTATTTGCCGTATGCGCCCCCCTCCTCAGAAAGCTGCCATGACGGCTATCAGCATCAAGACAAAATGCGACAGAAGATCAAAGAGGTAGAGGAGAAACAGCCAGAAGTCAAAACCGGGTTTATTGCCTCTTTCTTAGATTTTCTGAAATCTGGGCCCAAACAGCAGTTTTCCACTCTTGCTGTGAGAATGCCTAACAGGACTAGGCGACCAGGAACACAGACCGTTCGTGCATTTTGTCCACCACCACTTCCAAAGACTGCAGCTGCAACACCCACACCTTTAGTGTCTGAGGCTGGGGCTAACAGTCCATCAGAAAAACTTGATAACGAACTTAAAAACTTGGAACATTTATCTTCACTTTCTTCTGATGAAGATGATCCTGGAGTATGCAGTCATGATATTTACAAAAGCAGCTCTACTACCTTGAATACTTTAGACGCTACTTCTGATAAAAAGAAGAAAACAGGTAAAGTTTTAAATTTGAAGTTCATAATTATGGCTTTCTGTTTTTTTTTTTCTGCCTCTGGAACAAGTTTTATGCTTTCTTAGCTTGAAGCAAGTCTACAATTTCTCAAGACAGAATGCTTAGGCAGATATCTTAGACTTATTCTTTTTAATGTTCCTTGCCTCTAGGAAAGTTCTGAGTTTTAGACTGGGTAGTTCTGGGTTTTAGTCAGCTTTTTATCACATGCAACATAGCTTACATAGTGCACTATCCAGATTTTCTAATCTGAGGCATCTTGAAGTGACTCATGGATATGGGACGTCATACTGAGGGGCCATGTTGTTATGTATAAACTGGCATCTTTTTCTTTGTATGCTAATTTTACCTAAAATTAACATTTTGGGTTATTTTGTGTGCAGCATGCAGATTAATATAATTAATTCAAAACTTTAAAAATTTTGCACTGGTTTCAATACTGTATGCCCAAATCCTTAGGTGTATGTTTCACTTTTCTCTGTAGTTAAGGGAACATTTTAAGGAACTGTTTTGAGAAGCATTGTCTTATGTAAACAATTGTCAAGCAGTATAAAAGTTACCGTTTTCAAGAACATGCTAAGGAAAAAATAACAGTCAAATAGCTACCACCTCTATGCCAGGAACTATTAGCAATATTGTGAGATGCACTTTGTTATCTCCAATATACAGATGATATAACAGACTAAATGAATTGTCCAGGCCCATACAATTAGTAAATGACAGAGTTGGAATCCATATTCAGGTTTAAATCATACTCAGGTTTATCTGGTTCTAACATCTGTATTCCTGCCTACCGCTTTAGTATGAATAGAGTGGTACTTATGAGTTAAACCTTGTTTTATGATGTACTTTTCAGCTTCTCTCCAGATTTGACTACTTTTTTAACTAATAAAGTGATGTGAAACAGCCGGTATCCCAAATAATCTATTAGCATAAATGTCTGCTCATACATTTGTCATCAAAAGTTTTAAGTCTGCTAAAACATTTCTGAAGAATTCTCATTTTGTTATACAGGGAAATTAGCAACTGGAAAATTATTGCTAGTGCCAGAACATAACAGATGTAGCTAATCACAGTAAGGTTTTACATTCTTCTCCCTCAATTCAGAATACTTTGCAATCACTGTTATATTTCCTCTTATATTCTTAGGGCAAATCTTTTATAATCTCTTATAAAACATGAATCTAGAACTAGTTTTTTCTAGATGACTCTTATTATCTCATTTTTAGTTAAAACCACCACCATCAACCTGATCCTTATTAATAGATCTTTGAAGTTCTCCCTTTGTGCATTGCCTCCTCTTCTGTGAGGACTCATCATCTCTTGCTTGGGACTATTGCAACAGGTTTCTCATTAGAATCCTTCCCACCAGTCTGCACCAGTCCATCTGCCACATTGTGATCACATTTATCTTTATAAAAAAGAAGAGTAGTGTAGTGTGTTAGTTGCTCAGTTCAGTTCAGTTCAGTTCAGTTGCTCAGTCGTGTCCAACTCCTTGCGACCCCATGAATCGCAGCATTCCAGGCATCCCTGTCCATCACCAACTCCCCGAGTTTACTCAGACTCATGTCCATTGAGTCGGTGATGCCATCCAGCCATCTCATCCTCTGTTGTCCCCTTCTCCTGCCCCCAATCCCTCCCAGCATCAGGGTCTTTTCCAATGAGTCAACTCTTCGCATGAGGTGGCCAAAGTATTGGAGTTTCAGCTTCAGCATCAGTCCTTCCAGTGAACACGCAGGACTGATCTCCTTCAGGATGGACTGGTTGGATCTCCTTGCAATCCAAGGAACTCTCAAGAGTATTCTCCAACACCAGTTCAAAAGCATCAATTCTTTGGCGCTCAGCTTTCTTCACAGTCCAGCTCTCATATCCATACATGACTACTGGAAAAACCATTGCCTTGACTAGACGGACCTTTGTTGGCAAAGTAATGTCTTTGCTTTTTAATACGCTATCTAAGTTGGTCATAACTTTCCTTCCAAGGAGTAAGCTTAGTCATGTCCAATTCTTTGTGACCCCGTGGACTGTAGCCTGCCAGACTCCTCTGCCCATGGAATTCTTACATCAATTATTAATTCTCTGCTTTTGAAATACTTCTTGGTGCTCTATGGAAAAAAATTAAAATAATGTGTAAAAATTCTCCCTTTCCACGTTTCACTCTTTGCTCACTCTTGCCACTTCCCCTCTTCTGTGACAGCTGTTTGTCATCGTTCCTTGGACCTGTGAGCGCCTTTCGTGATCATGCTGCTTTTGAACAGGTTTTTCTCTCCCTGGGTCCGCCTCAGTTTTTTAGTCCAAATTTCTCCTTGAAGACCCTCTTCAAAATCACTTTGTGAAAGTTAACTCCTGGCAGAATTAGTGCTCATTTCCTCTAAATTCTCACGGGTCTTAAATCTTTCTAAAGGGCAAAAGTTTTAAATTTCTACAAGATCTGACATCCATTTTTCCTTTTATGATTTGTTCTTTTTGTATCTTAAGAAATCTTTGCCTAACCCATAGTCACAGAAATTTTCTCTTGTTTTCTTCTAGAAATTTTAAAGTTTTGCATTTTGCATTTAAGTCTAGGATCCCTTTTAATTTGGGGGGGTGGTATAAGATGTGAGGTATGGGTTGAAGTTTTACACATGGACGTCCAGCTTTTCCAACACATTTGTTGAAAAGACAATCCTTTCTCCATTGATTGCTTTTCACGTCTTTGTCAAAAATCAGCTGACCATATTTCTCTTTTTTTTTAATTATGCAGGTTTTGGGTCACTCAGTCATGTCCAAGTCTTTGTGACCCCATGGACTATACAGTCCATGGAATTATTCAGGCCAGAATACTGGAGTGGGTAACCTTTCCCTTCTCCAGGGGATCTTCCCAACCCAGGGATTAAACCCAGGTCTCCTGCATTGCCGGCGGATTCTTTACCAGCTGAGCCACAAGGGAAGCCCAGCTGACCACATTTGTCTGAATCTATTTCTGGACTCTCAATTCTGTCACACTGATCTACGTGTTTATACTTTGAACAATGTGACACTGTCTTAACTGCCTTACCACTGTGTGCTTAATCTTTCAGTCGTGTCCGACTCTTTGCGATCCCATGAACTGTAGCCTACCAGGGTCCTCTGTCCATGGGGATCCTCCAGGCAAGAATACTGGAGTGGGTTGCCATTTCCTTCTACAGAGGATCATCCCAATGTAGGGATTGAGCCCTCATTGCAGGTGGATTCTTTACCATCTGAGTTACCGGGAAACCCTTAATCAATTGCCTCATAATTAATTAGTTTTATAATTAATTGATTACTGCCTTAATTAATTGCCATAGCTTTACACTAAATCTTGAAATAAGGCACTGTGAGTCTTCCAAATTTGTTCTTTTCAAAATTGTTTTGCCTATTCTAGTTTCTTTCTTTTTCTGTACCAAAAAACCCCCCAAAACCCTACTGGGATTTTGATTACCTTGAATCTAGTTGCAGTTTGAGGAAACTAAACTGTTAACAACATGCTGAGTCTTAATTCATGAACACATTTGATTTCTCTTACCAGTCTTGCAGAGTTTGGGGCATACAGATCCTGCACATGCTTTGCTAGCTTTATTCCCAAGTTTTGGGGGGTGCTGTTTATTGTAAATAATACTTTCTAAAATTTTCAAATTCTAGTTATTCCTTAGTAGATTAAAAAAAATACAGTTAACTTTATATGTTGATCTTAAATTTGCAAAACTGATTTAAAAATTTTTTTAAATGGGGATTCCCTGGCAGTCCAGATGGTTGGATGGCATCACCGACTCACTGGGTTTGGGTGGACCCGGGAGTTGGTGTTGGACAGGAAGGCCTGGCGTGCTACAGTTCATGGGGTCACAGAGTCGGACACGACTGAGCGACTGAACTGAACCAGTAGTTAGGACTCCAGCTTCCCCTGCAGGGAGGCAGGGAGCACAGGTTCACCCTCTGGTCGAGTAGCCAAGATCCTGCAATGCAGCCAAAAAAACAAACAATAGATTCTTAAAAAATCAGATTCCATAGGATTGTCTTTGTAGAAAATGATGGCAGAAAAAGCATTTAGTTTCATTGATTTTTCTCCTTTGTTGACAGTTTTATTGATTTCTGCTATTTTCATTAATTCCCTTTTCAGTTTGATTTTATTATGCTCTATTTTTGTCTATTCTCATATGGTGGAAGCCTAAATTGTTGGTTTGAGACTTCTTTTCTTTTTTAAAAAAGATACTTTTGATGAGGATCATTTTTAAAGTCTTTAGAATTTGTTACAATATTGCTTCTGTTTTATGTTTTGGGTTTTTGGCCCTGAGGCATGTGGGATCTCAGCTCCCCAGCTAGGGATCAAACCCACATCCGCTGTATTCGAAGGTGAAGTCTTAACCACTGGACCGCCAGGGATGTCCCCTCTATTCTTTTCTGCTCTAAGCACTTAATGTTACAAACTTCTCTCTAAGCCCTGCTTGGCTATATCCAACAAATTTTATTTTTATTATTTGTTTTTTTTCTTTGATTTCAAAAGTTTTTCAAATTTCTTTGGGTGCTTTCTTTTTGGTCCATGAGTTATTTAGAATCATATTTCAAATTTTTCAGATATTTGGGGATTTTCCAGACATCTGTCCTTTATTGATTTCTGCTTTGTATAATTTCAGTTCTTTTAAATCTATTAAGGTTAGCTTTATTGCCCAAAATTTGGCTGATCTTGATTAATGTCCCAGTGTACTTTAAAAGAAAGTTGGATTTTGCTGTTTTGTGGATTGTTGTATAAATTTCAGTTAAAGCAAGTTGGTTGTTAGTGTTGTTCAGATTTTGTCTCATTACTGATTGTCTGTTTACTTGTTCTGTCAATTACTGAGAGAGGATTTCCTGTGTTTCCAAATATATTTGTGGATTTGTCTGTTTTGTTTTTCATTTCTGTCAGTTACTGCTTTGTGTATTTTGAGCTCTGTTTTTATATATGTACACATTTAGGATCGTTAAGCCTTAGTGAATTGACCCTTTTATCA